CAGGCAATCCACTCACCTCAGCCTCCCAAAGGCACGGGATACAGGCTGAGCCACCGAGCCTGGCTATGTTATGTATATTTTACCACAATAAAAAAATCAATTAGTTGGCCTGGTACAGTGGCTCAAGCCTATAATCCCAGCACTCTGGGAGGCTGAGGTGAGAGGATTGCTCCGGGGTTCGAGACTAGCCTGGGCAATTTGTTGAGACCCTGTCTCTACAATAAATAAAAAAATTAGCCAGGTGTGGTAGCGCATGCTTATACTTCCAGCTACTTAGAAGGCTGAGGCAGAAGAATCACCTGAGCTCAGTAGGTCAAGGCTGCAGTGACCATGAGCGTGCCACCGCACTCTAGCCTGGGCAACAGAGTGAGACTCCAACTCAAAAAAAAATTAGCAAACTTTAAAAATTCCCTCTGGCTGGGCTCAGTGGCTCAGCCTGTAATCCCAGCACTTTGGGAGGCTGAGGCAAGAGAATTGCCTGAGCCTGTGGGTTCAAGACCAGCCCAGGCAACTTTGCGAGACCTCGTCTCCATAATAAATCAAAAATTAGCCAGGAGTAGTAGCACACACCAGTAGTTCTGGCTACTTGGAAGGCTGAAGCAGAAGGATCGCCGGAGCCCAGCAGGTCGACGCTAGGGTGGCTATAAGTATGCCACTGCACTCCAGCCTGGGCGACAAAGTGAGACTTCAACTCAAAAAAAAAATAAGTTCCCTCCTCGGCCAGGTGCAGTGGCTCATTCTTATAATCCCAGCACTCTGGGAGGCTGAGGCAGGTAGAGTGCCAGAGCCTAGGAGTTTGGGACCAGTCTGTCAAGACTCATCATGACAAAAAAAAAAAAAAAATTTAGCTGGATGTGGTGGCACACACCTGTATTTCCAATTACTCAGAAGACTGAGGTGGAAGGATCACCTGAGCCCAGCAAGTCGAGGCTGTGGTAAGCTGTGATCATATCACTGCACTCCAGCCTGGGCAACAGAGTGAAACCCCAACTCAAAAATAAAATACCTGGCCGGTCTCAGTGGCTCAGCCTGTAATCCCAGCACATTGGGAGGCCAAAGTGAGTGGATTGCCCATGGGTTCGAGACCAGCCCGGGCAACTTGGCAAGCCCTCATCTCTACAATAAATCAAAAATTAGCAGGACATGACAGCATGCACCTATAGTTCTGGCTACTTGGAAGACTGAGGCAGAAGGATTGCTGGAGCCCAGTAGGCCAACACTGGGGTGACCATGAGTGTGCTACTGCACTCAAGCCTGGATGATCGAGTGAGACTCCAACTCTAAATAAATAAATAAAGCAAAACAGCCCCTCCTTGAGTGGATAAACAAAATATATTATATGCATATAATGGAATATTATTCAGTCACAAAAAAGAATGAAGGGCAGACACATGGTACAATGTGAACAAGCCTTGGAAACATTCTGCCACATGGGAAAAAAAACAGACCCAAAAGGTCACCTATCACATGATTCCATTTATACTAAATATCCAGAATAATTGCCTGAGCCCAAGGGTTCAAGACCAGCCTGGGCAACTTGGTAAGATCTCGTCTCTACAATAAACAAACAAAAAAAATTAGCCAGGCTACTACAGCGTGCACCTGTAATCCCAGCTACTTGGAAGGCTGAGGTGGAAGGATGCCCTGAGCCCAGCAGGTCGAGGCTGTGGTGGCCGTGAAAAAAAAAAGAAAAAGAAAATGTGTAGGACTTAGAGGTAGTGGTTGCACAACCATGTGAATGTACTAAGGTCGCTGAATCAGTTAATTTTTTTTTTTTGAGTGGGAGTCTCCCTCTGTCACCCAGGCCAGAGTGCAGTGGCATGCTCACAGCCACCGCAGCCTCAACCTGCTGGGCTCAGGCAATCCTT